TTAGCAGCCATAGGGCTCTTGGAAGTAAAGCCACGGGGAGTAGCTTAGACCCCATGAGGGAGATATGAAGCAAGAACATGGGGTCTGACTGACGGGCCGAGAGGACAGTGAACACAGCTCCTCCTTTTGCACTCAACACAGAGTAGAAATGACAGGGAAGCATTTGCTTTGAACTTGCTGGGTTTGTCAGATCAGCAGGACTTAATAACGGTACCAGGTGGGTGGAGCACTAGAGAGGATGATGGGAGTGAACACAATCAAAGAACATTATGCACATGTATGGAAATGTCATAGTGAAAGCCAGTATTTTGTAAAAGGTACATATGCTAATAAAATAAGAGGTATTATCCAAGAAGGCACACCCCTGTGTCTGCTGGTGGTGGGAGGATGCTTGCTGACACAGTGCTTTAAGAAGAGGCTGTCTGGAAATGTGATGAAGAACCTAAAAAAAATTGCCAACTTGGCAATAAAACAGACTGTTTCCTTTAGGGATTTGGGAAAAACATTACGGTCCATTATTTAGATGGAAAGACTGAGGCATGGGAACCTCATTATAGTGTGGTCTGTGATAGGGGAATGGTCTGCCTCAGTGTGTGGGATTAGTAAATAAGTAATCAGCCACTATGAGGATTGTAAATAAAATGGATAAGATTCATGATATCATGACAAAAAAGAAAACCATAAAACAGTTTATAAGAGAAATGGATCCAAAGGCTCCAGAGAGGTAGGATTAAAGGTGTGTGCCACCACACCCGGCCATAATATATAATATATATATATATATATATATTTGTGTGTGTATGTGCATACATGTGTATATATGGGTGTGTACATGTGTGCATACATATGTGGAGGTCAGTGGTCAGCCTTGGGTGTTGTTCCTCAGGATGTCCATCATGATTTTTTGAGTCAGGCTCTCTAATTGGCCTGGAGCTCGCTGCGTAGGCCGGGCTGACTGGCCAATGAGCCACAGGTATCTACTTGTCTCTACCTCCCCAGTGTTGGGATTGAAATGTGAACCACCATAGCTGGTTTTTAATGCGGATTCTGGGAATGGTAGTTGGGTCTTCATGCTTCTGCAGCAGGCCTTTACCAACAGAGTCATCTCCCTAGCCCGATATTTGTAATTACAAATATTTTGTTTATTATATTTTAATGTATATTATTTATTGAATGTTTCTGCATTCCATACAAAACATCTTAATCATCTTTATACCCCCTTACCCCTCTGGACCCCCCTAGCCTGTCCCATTGGATTTCATGCATTCTGTCATATATGTTAAAGCCTATCAAGTCAAGTTTGTGTACCCAGATGTCCCTCAGTGAAAGTTCATCCACTGGGGTCTAGTCAGCCTATCTAGAGTCTCTCCCTTAAAGAAAATCAACTCTCCCTCACCTTGCAGTAATCAACTGCCAATAGTTCTTCAGCTAAGGTTGGGGCCTGAAGTCCATTTCCCCAGTTCTATGCTGAGTTTTTGTCTGCTTGAGTTTGCATGGGTCTTGTGCATGCTGACACCATCGCTGTAGGTTTATATGAGTAAGGTCCCAGAAGCCTGTAAGACTCTATTTCCATATGGTCATGCACCTCCTCCCCTGGTTCTTACCATCTTTCTACCCCCTCTTCCACAATAGTCCCCAAGCCCTGGGTAGATGAAGTTTAATATAAGAGTACTATCCAGTGACTTATTATATTTTTTATTTTATATGCATATATGTAAGTGCACCCATGTCATGCAGTGCCTATGGAGGTCAGAAGAGGGCATTGGATCCCCTGGAACTGGGGTTACAGATGGTCGTTAGCTGCCATGTGGGTGTTGGGAATCAAATCCAGATCCTCTGGAAGTGTAGCCAATGTTTTTAACCACTGACCCATATCTCCAGCCCCAATATTTGCAAATTTTTAAATCAACAAGAACATCTTCTAGAATATGGTAAGACAAAAAAAAAATAACAGAGGTTATGCATAGTCAGCTGAACGAGTAGGAGCTGACTCGAAGGGCAATAGGCACAGGAAGAGATACTTCTACTCAGGAGTCCAGGGAAATGCACAGCAAATGACTTTGAGGCATCCCTTTGCTTCAGTTGTATTGACAATCATTAGAAAGCAGAATGACGCCAATCAGAGCTTGCAGTGATGAGGGAGGAGCCTCCAGATGACAGTTAGAGGGAGTGTGTCCCAGGCCATCTTTCCGGAGGTGTCTTAGCAGTACCTGGTTGAACGTCACAGACAGAGGTCAGCTCTGCTGCTTCTGGGTACATGCCATGAGGCTGTGGCCTGCACGGTCTGTCTCCCACAGGGTTGTATGCAGAACCAAAGCTGTGAGTAATCTATCCATCATCATGAGAACGGTCACATAGATGCACACATGACACCACTTTGGAAACAGCAGTTAGAGGACATGGACTTGACAAACACACAGCTACATGGTCCTTCCTGAAGACATCACAGTGAATGGAATGAGATGCCAAAAAATGCAAGTCATCAGCCTGCCTGAAAAGCAGGTGTACAGAAACTGGGCACTGTTGGCTGTGATTCCGAGGGGTCCACACCAGTAGAATTACCTATCAAGCAGGTGATGGAGTGGGGGTGAAAGTGGGGATGGGAAATACAACAAATAAATGAATAAATGGACGATTTCAGAGGAGCCTGGAAGATCAGGGAAGAGACTAAGGGGTGTTATCCTGAGGGCCTTTGGGGGAAGAGTCCAGTTCTAAACTACCACTGTGCCCATCTCAAGCCTACATTTCATGAGTTTTGCCAAATATAGACATGCATGTACCCAACACCACGATCAACAGCAAACATTTTCATAACCATGAAAATTCTATCATGACTTTGCCTAGTAAAGTTCCCGCCCCCACCAAATCTTGGTGGGCAGCCACTGCTCTGCCTTCTGTCCATAGAGATTATGTGTGTTTTCAAGTTTCACATACATGGAATCATTTAGTTGTGTTCTTCTATGTCCATCATAATTATATAATACTTTTATTTGTATCAAATGGTTCATTCCATTTAAAATGACTCAGTAGTAGTCCACAGCATAGATCTACCACAGTTTGTCTATCTGTTAAATGAAACCAACAAGAAAAACATGATTCCAGGAAATAAAGTCCAAGAGTAAGAAGTACAAATGACAGAAAAGGGGCAGGGGGTTCAGAAAGCTTTGGGATGATGGTTAGCTTTGCCAGGTAATACAGAGCTAACTCCCAGCTCCCCCTGCGCAAATCAGTGTATACTTTCTGCTGCTGCGGTCCAGTGCCAAAGACCTGCCTTTGAGTTTCTTTCTCTCTGGTCTCTGTGCTGAATGCTGGGTGTTGGGTGCTCAGTGCTGGGTGCTGGGTGCTGGGTGCTGCTGAAGTTGAATTTGAGGAGAACTTCTTGCAGGAAACCTGGCTATTCTGGTCTCTTCTTAGAGTGGACTTTACTCCAGACAAACAAACCACAAAGTGTGTCATGCTGTGAGCCAGTCACACTTCACCTGAGATGTTCCACAATGAAAAGCCAAGGTCACAAACAAAGGCACCTTTCAGGGGTCAGCTATCAGGTGAACTGGCCATGGTTACTTCCATCACAAAGGCTCTTGTTCTTGTGTCTATTGACTTGAGGGTAGCGTGCTCATGTATGTACTTATAGAGGGGTTCCTGTAAGCTCTTGAGCTTTCAAGGATCATTTTCAGGGCACAGTCCCCTGAAAAATATTGGGTTGAAGCAAACAATGCTGAAAGTGAAGATCCTCTTTTCAGACTTATGTGGTAGAAACTATGATTGATTTAGATATAGATCACATGTCTAAAAAGTTTTAGAAATTAGTAAATTCTCTCTCTCTCTCTGAGGCAGGGTCTTTCTATGTAGCCTCGGCTTCTCTGAAACTCACTGTATGGTTCAGACTGGCTTTGAATTTGTGATTCTCCTATTTCAACTTCCTGGGTACTGGAATTATAGGACTGTGCCATCAGGCCAGGTTTAAGGCTATACTTAATAACACTCATATACTTAAAATGGTAAATATATTTATACATTTCAATTATGTATAAATACGTAATAAATATGTCTCCTTAGAGAAATTAAGAGGGGGATTGTATGTTGTATGCATTAAGGATTAGTTAACAATTTTTAAAAAACACATGGGATATTTTTGTTTGTTCTTATATTTTACTTTTTTAATTTTATGTACGTGTGTCCTAGTTTATTTCTCCATTGCTGTGACAAAACACTCTGACCAATACCAACTTCGGGAGGAAAGGGTTTATTCGGCTTACATCTCCTAGGTCACAGCTCATCAGGGAGCCTAAGGTAGGAACTCAGGGCAGGAACCTGGAGGCAGGAGGAACGCTGCTTACTGGCTTACTCCCTTGGCTCCTGCTCAGCCTGCTTTCTTATGTAACACAGGCCCACCTGCCCAGGGGTGGCACCACCCACAGTGGGCTGGGCCCTCCCACATCACTCAACAATCAAGAAGATGCCCCACAGACTTGGCCACAGGCCAGTCCTATGGAGGAAATTCCCCAATTGAGGCTCCCTCAACCCAGGTGTGTCAAGTTGACACTAAAGCTATCCGGCACAATATGAGTGTATCATCTGCATGTGTGTAAGTGTACCTATGGGTAAGAGGTAGCTGGATAAGAGGGTGTGCTATTAGGCTACCTGGATGTTTCCCAGTATTGTAGAAACAATGTGCCCCCTGGAACTACAGGTGCAGCCTTCATGGCTGACTGGCTGCAGCAGGAGTGTCTGGGCAGAAACACTTGTAAAGCAAAAGCCAGCTAGAACAAAATGGAGTCAGCTTTGCCATTTCAGATATATTGTTAATTACATGTTAATCACATGGAAATACGAACCTCTTTTGGAAAATCCTTCCTCTTTTTAGTGGGTTTCAGATTCTTAGAGGAACCATCTCTAATAGGAACTAAACTGAATGAATGCAGGACCTTTCCTCCAATCAGTCATCAGGAAGTGATGTAGCAGGACTTTTCATTTCTGTGTGTTTATTCTGGATTCAGATCGATCTTGCCAAATATGGAGGCTGAAGATTATTCAAAGGCTGAAGACAGACCTGAGGACCCAGGTTCCAAAAATGAAGGGCAGTCCTCTGCTGTGCAGCCTGATTTCCCACCAGAACAGCAGTCCACTGGCCCCACTGTCCTCTGGGATATGCTTGACAGCAAGTTTCTGGAATACCAGCAGCTGATGCACAAGAACCCAGAAGATCGTAGGAGGAGCCTGTTGAGCTTTCTCCCCCTGTTCCTAAAGGTCAGAATTCTCTTGTTTCATTTCATGCTTATTTTATTTAAAAGATGTTTTTGATTTATTTTTATTATATTTTATGTGTATAAGTATATTGCCTGCATGTATGTAAGTGCACATGTGTTGTTCAATGGAGGTCAGAAAAGGGCAGTGAATCCCCTAGAACTGGAGTTGTTAGTTGCCATGTGGGTGCTGGGAACATATCTTAAAATTTGATTTTCTCAGGGCTGGGTGTGGTGGTGCATGCCTTTAATCCCAGCACTCGGGAGGCAGAGGCAGGTGGATCTCTGTGAGTTCAAGGCCAGCCTGGTCTACATAGTGGGTTCCAGGACAGCTGGGGCTACAGGGAGACCTTGTCTCA